TCGCCTGCACTAGTATCGCAGAGATCAGTGGTTCGAATCCCGTACAGGCCTGATTTTTTTCAGGTCTGATTTTCGCTATTGCATAATTAGCGCTCTCTACTGCGAGGATCGTGCATCATACGTATCTATAACCGCAGTTCAAAATATATGAACTTCATATATTCATCGTATCTGATTAAAAATGTTTACAAAACTCTTGAAGCCACTTCCAAATTTAATTCTTAAATCTACTCCACGAAACCGGCAAACTACGCCTTCTGGATTAACTTTTGGCTTTATCCCTCTCTTAGATTTTGATACCAGATTCTCCTTGTCGTCTGACATTTCTCGCTCACGTGGAGCAAGTTTTAGTTCTTGTTTTGACAGTTTGCATGGTTCACTGAGCTCTCGCTAATGGCGCTTTCTGATTGGTTAATTTTAAGAGGCGCTGATTGACACATGCAAGACGATATGAATATGAAAATAGGGGGCGCTTCGTTAGTCAGTAGGGGTCTGTGACAAGCCCTCCCTTTCCCCTCCGCACATTCCGCTCCCCCCAATCCCCCTCCTTTCCCCCAGGGCTTGCTTCGCAGGCTATCTAAGAGGGAAGTCCTCGACCTTTCTACTTAAAGTCAAGTAGCGATTTTTGATTATTTGTTTTTAAAGAGAACTTAACTTAATGTGATAATTTAGGCAAGCTTTAGACTGCTTCAGTTTAAAAAGAGAAGCTACAGATTTATATGTCTATGTATACGTTTTTTAGATTGTTAATCTGATTGTTTTGTTTAGGGCGATGAAGAATGCAAAGTTATCTTAGAGCTGAGGTGAAGATTTAGTCTTATTAAAAATTTGCTTGCCCAATTTTGGAAGTTTTTATAATAATAGTAATAATAAATAAGTCTTTATTCCATCATAAGATAAAAACTACATATCTTATGTTACAATGAATTCGGAAAAACTACAATAGAAATCTACATACATATTAGGAATTAAAAAGTATGTCATCACAGTAAATGAAGCTTAAATATCAACCTATTTACAAAGGTGTTCATAAAGCGCTGTGTATTAATTTTCGGGCGTGCGCAGCCTTTTTTCCTAAGATTGTGTACATATGTCTTCTGGACAGGAATGATGTCTTTTAGGGGGTGGCAATCCGTTGATTTTAATTTCTTCAAAATGTTTCGGTCTTGTTTGTTTAAAAGTTCTTGATAAAAACTGGAAATGAGATAAAACGGCTTTTATGATATCGGTCTAAAAAATTTTGTAGAACCGTAAGATCGGACTCAGATGCCCCATAGACTGAAAGTGTATATAAGGCTTAAATATTTACATTTTTTAGAGGATCTCGATGCGGAGGTTGCCGAAGAGTGGATGACGCTAACCGCCCTTATGCCTTTGAGGTAAAATGCAGTTGCTATGCTGATTTTTTGCCTGAGAGAGCACGTTTGACTTTGTTGAGTTGTTACGTTGTAGGTTGTATCAGAGGATGGCTCACCTCTACTTGTCCTTGCAGCCTATAGCGAGGATGAATCTGCTGATTGGATATTTAGGATTTGTCAAGCTACTGCTGATACGGTAGAAACATATCACAAATGTTCTTATTTGTCTCTGTTTATCTGTTTTATTATTATTATTATTATTATCATTATTACTGTTATCATTATTACTATTATTATTATGCAGCAGTTTAAAACTTTTGTATGCTATATACAGTAAGAATAGTATGACGGGGCGCATGAGCGTAGCCCGTTAACTATAGCGAAAAAAAAAACCCTCGAGAAATAAAAATAATTGGTATTTCGGGTATCCGAATCTAATATAGTCGTTATAAAATCTTTAAAAACCTATTACGTATTTCGGCTATTATGAAAGAGTTAATCAGTGACGATAACTTCCTAAGTTTCTAATAATCCACAGAATTTTTGAAGGCAAAGAGTTAAATAGAAAGCGATTATTATTATTATTATTATTATTATTATTATCATCATCATCATCATCATCATCATTATTATTATTATTATTATTATAATTATTATTATTATTATTACTCTTTTGGATCTTAAAAACGCTTTTGGTGAAGTTCATCACAACTTGGTCCAAACCGCTCTTGATTACCACCACATTTCCGATCATATTAAATCACTGGTGAAAAGTCTTTACACGGACTTCACAACCTCTA